CAGGCTCCATCTCTCTTTAAATGATGCTCTCGGCTCAGTTACGACATCCACTCCTAACTTCTTATATATATATATATGTAAAATATCTATCTTTCAAATAATAATTTAATAGTCCTTTAACACCCGTCTTCATTCTAGAAATAATAGAGCAATACTTTTTCTAACTAAATTCCCTGCAGTCCTGATGCGCACTTATCGATGAAATCTGAACCCAACATCTGAGCATTAATCTGTTAAGTGATGTGAAATGGAATTCGGTATAAAAGGTCATTTGCGTCGCAATTCTCCCTCTTCGCTCTTCACCTCTGCTTTTAGACGCTTGTGTCGCCTTGCCGCTAGCCAAGCAGAGTTTACTTTTCCAATTTTCTTCCATTTTTTAAGAAATGTAAGTTGTACAAAATTGGGGGTGGTGTTGCATAGTGCACCCACAGTGATGATGTGCATTATCAAGGAATAAAATTTTGTGTGTAATTTACCGCCAAGTCATCTTTCTAACTACGCAGTAAAATTTCTTCAAGTTATAATACAGAGAACCATTGTCAACCCATTGCAACTTTCTTTCACCAAGTCATCTTATTACAATAATGCCACAGTCATATTACAATAATGGCACATTCTTATTATATATACATATATACAGTGAAAATTAGAAAAGGTATTAAAAATCGAGTGACCTAGTAGGTCGAAAATAGCGAATTCAGCTGCTGATTTGGGCCCACCAGCGGCCGAGCGGTAAAGACGCTGAACACTGGTAATTCTATCCGAGGTTCGAATCCCGCGAATGTGCTGGCTGCATGGGCGTTTTCGTGGTTTTTCCCATGTGTAACGTGTATACGAGCCAGTTTCCCTTAGAAAGTCCTCCACGAAGGCATCCCTCCTTTTAGGCAGAAAGCCCTCGTGTCTTTGCCATAATTAAATAATCCAAATCCAATTAGCTGCTGATTTTTAAAAATTGATTTTAATAAGAAAAGAGGTATGAAACCTAGCAAAGGTCGTAAAAATATTTGTGTATCCTATCGAATTCCTGAATATCCATTCCCGAAATCAAGTTTAAAAATGCGATAAATCCGATAATCTACATAAAAATTGAAAAACGCACACATAGAAAAAACGAAGTCATCTTCCCTGTTCGAAGCTTCAAACAGAACTTAGCAAGGAAAAAGTGCTTGAAGCCTCAAACCATATTGATTAGCTAAGAGCATGCAAACACGTTTCGTCGAGCAAATACATTGAGACTCCAAACGGTATTACTCGTATTCTATTTTTTTTTTTTTTTTTTTTTTTTTTTTTTTTTTTCAAACTGAAACTAACAAAAGTCTCAATAGAAACTGCTTTTCCCGACGTGTTTGCGTGTCTTAAATCATTCAGAGTAACAAATTAGTGATCATGTATATCTTGTTTGTTTGTTTGTTAATTTTTTGTATTTTCTCGACGAAAAGTGTTTGCATGCTTTTAGATAATCAACTTGGTTGAAGGCTTCAAGCACTTTTCCGTTGATAAGTTCTGTTTGAAGCTTTAAACGAGGAAGATTGACTTTGTTTTTTTCCTATATGCGCGCTTTTTTTTTTTTTTTTTTTGGTAGATTACATAGGCTTTATCGCATTTTTTAAATTTGATATGTAACTATTTTACATGGATGTTCAGGAATTTAAAAGTATACACAAATGTTTTTACGACCTTTGCTAGGTTTCATACCTCCTTTGTTATATATATGTAATAATAAAATTCCATATTCAAGAATACACTTAAAATTCTAACTGTATGTTCTTTTCATTTTTAATGTCGACCGTCTCTTATTTGAAAGTACGTGGAATTAAATCCACAGCCCTGTAGTCAAGTTGTTTTTCCCGCCTTTTTTACACGTACAGTTATAGAATGTTCTGGAAATATTTAAAGCGAGCTGGATTGGCTGACGAGGCTGACGTCATTTCTTTGAAGCTCCGCCTTTCCAGAGGCTATAAAAAGACTCGCAAAGGAATAACGGGGGTTATTTCTTTAATGCAACGATGCAGTAAACTTCATACAAAAAGTTATTAGTAATTCTTCTTATTTACTCCGGATATCTGATTTTGTAACTGCTATTTCTCCTAAATAATAAGAAATGTATCCTGTTTTTTAAACTTATCGTCTGATAACTTAAGCTACGACTACATCTATATTTCTTCAACGATCTATTTATTCTGGACAAAAGCTGATACATCATATATATATATGTCTGAGTGTGTGTGTGTGTGTGACCATGGTGGTTGGGTCTGTGTGTGTGGTGGGTGTATATATATGTAATAATAAAATTCCATAGTCAAGAATACACTTGGAATTCTAACTGTATGTTCTTTTCATTTTTAATGGCGACGTTCTCTTATTTGAAAGTACGTGGAATTAAATTCACAGCCCCGTAGTCATGTTGTTTTTCCCACCTTTTCTACACGTACAGTTATAGAATGTTCTGGAAATATTTAAAGCGAACTGGATTGGCTGACGAGGCTGACGTCATTTCTTGGAAGCTCCGCCTTTCTAGAGGCTATGAAAGGACTCGTAAAAGAATATCGGGGGCTTTTTCTTAAATGTCAAAATGCAGTAAACTTCATACAAAAAGTTATTAGTAATTCTTTTTTATTTACTCCAGATATCTGATTTTGTAACTGCTATTTCTCCTGACCAATAATAAATGGATCCTGTTTTTTAAACTTATCGTCTGATAATTTAAGCTACGACTACATTTATGATTCTTCAACAATCTATTTATTCCTGAAAAAAGCTCTACATCACATATATATCTTGAATAAAATTTATTTAAACTCATTTGTAAAAAGTAAAACAAAAATTTTAAACAAAACAAAACATTTTATTTCATAAAAATACAATTGATATTTTATATATATCATAAAGGAACGCTATCAAAAAATAGTCTTTCAAAAATATACATATTAATAGAAGAAATTTTACAGAACATATAAACTAATAAATCCGAATATAATACTTTCAGTATATATTACTACATAAAAACAACAATAAAACAATTATTTATATATATAGAAAACTTGTTACACACATTTTTATAAATGTACGAATTTATAAATGTATGGCAAAAATCAAACTCTCACCACACAACAGTAGGTCAGCAGTTATTCTGTTCCATGCAGCACTATTTTTCGAATATGTTACTTTTTCCAACGTGAGCGAATATAGTATATCAAATAAAAAATTACTCAGGGTGATCAAAAAGTCGGGTTGACAAGAAATTAAAAACATCATTACTTTACTGTAGTCTGCTACTTCAGAATAAGCATTTCCAGTCATTTTCTCCGATGCCGCTTACTTTGTGTAACCATAGTAACGACAGCTGCAGCAGATGGTCGAATTTTTTCCGCTGCATTTCCGTTTAGTATATTTTGGTTACCGAAATGCGCACAAATGAAGGCTGATTTAAAGTACTCTAAAATGAGGTGGGAAAAAATAAGTGCTGTGTCGTAAAAATAGCACCCTTTACGATGGAAAATAAGGGTGAGTGAAAAGGCCTTGAAGTGTCTATGTTAAAGTAACAGACTATAAAGCTGAAAGAAAGGAAAATCACTAATCCCATTGCATTCTTCCTTCCACTCGGTTTTCCTACCGCGTGTTAAAGAAGTGAGGGAGACGAGGAAAAGTTAAATCGCAAAGCTGAAAGAGTGGCTGTGGCGACGCATCCAGGACATTAAAATCATTTTCGAGGTATTTACAGTTCGAAAAATATTTCTTTGAACATAAGCCCGTTTGTTCAGAATAGTAAAAAAAGTAGGCTTAGGTTACTGTATATTTTGAATAAAATTGCTTTATTTTGAAAGGGTGATCAGATATGGGTTCCTCTTCTTCAAAAGCAAAAACATTTTGCTAGTTTGGGAGGAACGATGACCATTTTATATGGACAGCAATGGGTGGAGTTAAGCGTGTCGAAAAAATAGTAATGAAACTTGAAAAGTGTAAGTTAATATAGTAGCATTTTGAAAGTGCTGGTAAGAAATTAAGTGGAATTAATATCTCAGTTAAGTGTTTTGGAGTGGCCCTGTTCATATTATTGCGATTTCCCATACTAGCCTCCTCGTTTTAGCATTCTTTGTGAGGTTACTTGCGTGAAAATGAATTCCTAATAGCATCAAACTTTTATGAAAATGATGTTTGTGTGAACAGTGATTTCTCTGTTTTGTTCTTACCAAAATATATATATATATATATATATATATTGGTATGCAAAGTATTTCAGCAACTAAGCAAATTCTGCTTTTCCGTTACCTCTAAATTTATTTCATATTTATTTTATCATATTGCTTTTAATTTACCCAATGGTTGGTCTTGTTTTTTACTCAAGAAAACTCTTAATTATTTTTACAGTAATTTTTGTTTTAGGATTACATCGGATGAAATTTTATCTTAATAATTAATTAAAATTAAAAAATATTTAGTTATTGCACTTTTAAAGGAATTTAATTAAACTCATTTTTATTTGGTCCTTCTTTTAATTTTTTATTTTGAAATTTGTTTAAGAATTCACACAGTCATCTAGATGTAATTCAGTAATGTAGTCTGCTGAAAGTTCTTTTCCGTTTCCTGAATAAGACCAAAAAAATGTGCAAACATTTTATATTAATAATTTATATATTAATTTTTATTATGCTGTATTACATTTATCTTATTTTTATTGAATTGTTTTTGTTTTAATTTTGGAATATGTTAGACTGTTACCCCTTTTCTTGCTCGAATTTTTGCTCGAATTATTATTTCTTGATTAATTAATTAATTCCGCAACGTACTGCTGCGCGATATTAATAAGATTTTATCTTAAACTAAAATTTCTAAAATTTTCTTTATATATGCATATAAAAAGGACCAATATGTATTGTATATGTTCTTCCTATTAGATTGCTAGCCACATACTTTTGATTTCAGAATTATGTCTTGATTTTATAATGGTAAAGTGTCTTTTCGTTTACATTACAAGTCATATATTTTAGCTCACGTATACAATTAAGTTCTTTGTCATATCAAGTCATAAGAGGTATTTAACAAGTTCGTCAGCTGCCGTCTATTTCCAGTTCTGCATCAAAATAAAGCTGTAACTTTGAAACCGTGAATGTTTAATTCACTACTGTTTTCCACATTAAAGTGACATTTTTTATGAATTTTTCAGAATTTTAATCACTGCTCCAGAATAAGCCAGCAAATGAATGCACTAGGTTGTTACCGAAGGTGGCACTGGGGAGTCGTAGATGTTGATGGGATTCTGAGAAGATGGGCTCATAGAACACGTATATAGTTCTTTCTCTTTGTTCTTTTCGTCTGTGATATGCGCCTGCTCTAGGAGAGAACTTAGCGTCTGTATGTGCCTAATGGCAGCATGGATTCGATAGTGGAGAAAAGATTCCAAGTGGTAGTCAGTATGAGCATGACTGAAAAGATAATGTAACAAAGAAATGGGTAAATTTCAGGATAGCTTAAAGTCACAAAATGCATTTATAATCTAAATTTAAAAGTTTAAAGAAATAAAAATTTAAAATTAAAAGTATATAATAGCTTATTAATTTAGAAGTCAAACAACAAAAATCAGCGTTATATTTTCGAATTTTCAAATTTACTGTGAAAATTTGGAAAAATAACGCTGACGTTTGTTGTTTGACTTCTAAATTAATATTTGTTCGGAGTGTTATTGTATCTTAAATATAATAGCTTATCTTACTATCCTAATATTCTAGGAAACTAATCAGATAAATTTCATAAATTTCCTTCTGTTGTGAAATTTGCGTTTTGCCTTGATGCTGCTCAGTGCTGAAGAGGATTAAAATTAAATTTCCGCGATAGAAGCCAAGAACGTTGTGAAGACTGTGTATCCTCCTGATGTGCCTGTCCGGGGTGTATGTCGTCCTGATTATCGACGTGGCTAGTAGCCGTGATTTTCTCCTGCATGTACGACGAATGGATGCATGGAATCCTGACATGGAATAGAACTGACCAAGACTAGAATTGGAATAGCAATTTATCAGAATGCCCAGGACAGCATTTATATGAACTATCGTATGAAATTGTTGTAGACAAGCACTTGCCGATATACCAGGCAAGTTAATCACCTGTTATTCATCTTCTTCATCGTATGTTTGTCCTATTTTGTTCCGATGCCAATTAAGTTAGATTGACTGTAATGCATCTAACACTTAAAGCTTAACAAGTTCTTTATAACAAGAGAGAGAACGATACCGCTGTAATCCTTCTCTAATAACGATGCAAAAAGTATGATTCATAGTCATACATTTTTCAGTCTGATGCGATATGGAACCCACTGTTAAATAGCTTAAGTTCACGCCGGGAAATAATGTTATGAATCTTACTTCACGGCACCAATGTTATATAGAAGAAAGTTTCGCCACCAAGGTTAAATAGTTTACTTCTAGGTACCAGTTTATATCTGAAATTCCTATATGTTAAATGTTAAATATGAAACTACTTGCCGTTAAAGGAAGTGATCGTATAGTGAAACGTGTACAGCATTTTTGCGTTGTGAAAAAAATGCATTCCGGGACCGCGGCCGTGAGAGGATCGAAAACATAAAACATATACAAGATATAAAGGAAAAGTTCATATTAAATATATAAAGAAAAACATACTGTAAGAGGTTCCAGATTAAATATCAGTTTATTCAATTACAACACAATAAGAAAAGTCTAACCTCATCTGAGAGTCTGTTCATTTAAATTCATAAAAACTTAAGGTTTGTCTGGTGATTTAAAAGAAAGGAAAGGGAAACAATTTATGGCCTGAGAGTTAAATTTTAGATTCGACGTTGTTTTTACTGCTAGGACGTTTTTGAAAAAACTTGCCTAAAGTTCCAACACACCAAAAAAAAATAATACTTATTTGAGTGGACATTGAAGTGGAGGAGAGCTCATATCTTAGCTCTATCCTTACGTCACTTGGCAAATCCGCAAGACAGAGACTCGAACGGCACGACAATAAATTACATCAGCTATACCGTCAATCTTACGCCTGCTACTGTTTTCCATAGAAGAAAATTATTCCCCACTGGAAGCAAGAGAACAGCTTACACCGCACGGCTGTCTGCCATAGACTCTCAGCTCCACCAAGGAAAACGTAGACAGTTTTGCTAGGTATTTTAGAGAACGGCTAACTCAGGATTTTCATTTGTCTAAGGTGACATAATTCCTTCTGTTTTCAAAGTCGAAGTTCAGAGGACATCGTCCTGACCTTTGCCGACACAGATATAGACCAAAGTCTCTGCTAATACTCTCTCTAATAAATAATCTCTCTAATAAAGTCTCTGCTAATCTCTGTTTTTAGTTATTCGCTGAACAGTTTTTTTCCCTCGCATTTTTGCGAAAACCCGCGGCCGGGGAGCATAATTGCCGCTCCCCGCCGGAAGCACTGCTCGATGCCGACTAAATCTTTTCCTTTCTCCGGTCAGAGTAAGTGGTCTCGCCTCTTAACCAAACGCGGCCGGGGAGCATATTTGCCGCTCCCCGCCGGAAAACACCTCTCGGAGTCACTTACATTTTGTCCAGCAAGCCCAAAAATCAGCGAGTCAGTCCGAGAGTCAGCCAAAAGTAAGTGTGTCCAACTTAAATTTCCTTCTTGTCCTTCACCAAACGGGGCTCCCACTATGGCTTCACTTATCGCCCCTTAATTATGGCAAAATCTTCGTTTTCACCTCCAGAATGCGGAAATAAGGGTGATCGCGCATGCGCGCCCTTCTTCACTTAGCCAACAACCGGACCCTCAATCGCCAAAAACCTGAATGACTACATTGAAAGACAAGTAGCAACCTTTGACCTTTCCGTCACGTACTTTCCTCTCTTAAGGTCAACTAACAATGAAAAATTCTTTCTCGAACATTCTAAAGCGCGCGAAATCATGACTTGAAGAAAATTGCCTCCCTTTCCCTGCTTCTTTCACAATGAATAAAAGTTTGTACAAGATTTACAAATAGAGGAAAATAAATAATACTCTTTTAAACTAAATAATATTCCCAGAAGCATCTGTCTTTCCCCCAAAAATTAAAGCCTTAAATTAAATAATTCAGAATCAAAATAAATTTAAATTTCCATAAATCATAAAATCATTCACCTAATTTTTATAACGCTATCCGGTAATTTCTCTACATAACATTCCTTTCCCCTAAGGAATTAAATTTTGGTTACCAAAATTTAGCAGACAGACACTTCTTGAAATACCATGACTCATACTGTGCAATAAGGCTAAAGGATAACATAATGTAACAATATTCACACGACTCCTTGGTAACAGTGACGTTACTGACACATTAAATTTCAAGTCCAAAATGTCAAGTAAAACAACAAGATAATCAAAGCAATTACTAATTAAAATACTCAAGGAAGATCATCAAAAACAATTAATCAAAAACATCAATTAAATCACTTAATTAAAACCTAGAAATACTCAGAACACATACAAAAATAAAAATAAAAATAAGCGCTCATCACAAAACAAATAGTCTAAGATCAATCAATAAGATAATTAACGCGCCGCAGATACATAAAATACATTCCTGAGAAAATAAACACACTAATATTCAAACAATTCCAAATAAAATATGTCACCATGAACGTATTCAAATAGGAGTAAAGACCCCTAAGTACTACGAAATTGAATAACTTCCAAGATTGAATCCCAAACAATCACGTCTAAGAACAGAAGCGGCCTGATCAGGCCAAGCATTAGAAAAGAAAAGAACGTTACAAACACAAGGAACCTCGGAACCAGCCGAAATACCCCACACAAAAATCAGAAAGAAAGAAAACGTGATTGTCCAAAAATTTCAATCCAAGCAAAAATCAATTCCGAAAATAGCATAACGAATACGCTGCACAAATACCAATTAGAATTTTATCCAAAACACACAAAAATAATACTAATAATACAAACCTAATGCATATACAAAATAACGTTTGGCCAACAAAATTTACAAAATACTACCAAGATACACATATACACATAAAATGAAAATACAATTAAACTGTAAAAATTTCGTACATAATTCAAATGAGCAATGAGATCAGCGATACTTAAAAAAAAAATTTTAAACTGCAATACCTAAACAAATACACAAATAGTCATTATGTTAAACCATATCAAGTCAAAAATATTTCACTGTAATTCAAATCAAGCCAAAAAAAAAAAAAATCAACCAGCAAGAGTGAAGTGTCGCTAAAAATTTCAAATTCAAACCTCACGGTAAACACTAGTGAGTAACAACACCATATTTAAGTCCCCTTAGAAGACAACACCAAAAAAAAAAAAAATTTCAGTAATTCTAAAAAATCCCATTAAGGTCCACCAAAAAAAAATTTCAACTAGTCAAAGAAATCAATCAAAGCTGGACTGAAGCACGTTACTAGAACACTAAATAAAATATCACAAATCAAAAAAAGTGTTCAAAACAAACCCCCCAATTTTAGGCAAAAACTGAGATCTATTCTGCATCAGACTTTTTCAAAAACGTTGTATAGTAACCTAAGTAGCAGCCTTCAGAAAACACCCTCCACCCAAAACAAAAGAAACAAAGTAACTCTTTACCGCGTCCATGTAAGCTGAGAAAAGCGCTGTATTATGAATGACAGACTCAAACTTTACGTATCAAGCAAACCTCCAGACACGTTGAAAGAGAACATAAGATCTCTTATCTCGGAAAGAAAAGTGCGCTGACTGAAACGTTACAATCCTGAACCAACACAATGAAAAAGATACAACAATAGTTTTCTCAGATAACAAGTTCCTGTTTGCCCCGGTGTAAGAGGTCAAGTGCCACCATGAAGTGCAAGTATTTACAAGAAAACGAGCTTTCAGGACATTACAACTTCACGCAAGACCTAACTGCAAGCAACAAATGCAAAGTTCTCAAAAGTGCTAAACTAAAAAAAAAAAAAAAAATACTCGTAACTCAAACTCAAAAATCCCTAAAAATCACACAAATCAAATCCATAACTCAAATTCTACCTATTTTCCTATAACCACAGAAATTCTCAATTCTTCCACAGAAACTAAACATCAGAGAACTTACATTTTACGGACCTTGGCAGAAACCACCAGAAACAAAACAAAAATTTGATACAACTATCTTGATACTAACAATTTCAAATACAAAACTTTAGCCAAAACAAGAATTAACCCCAAATTCAGCAACAAGTCCAACCAAGAAAGAAAATTCAATAACTCAAATCAATCTATTACGATTCACTAGCAAATTCAAGACAAACTACTTGTAATCAACAGAAAATTCCCACACATGAGTACAGAGCAAAAGTAACTAATCTTCTCAAACTTATTTCAAAAATTTTCCACAAAACCAAATTCCCGTTGTCACCAAAATTCTCATTAAAATTCACTTTCTACAATTCACAAGACTAAATTTCTACTGTTTAAA